TCGTGATGGAAATTTTCAGGTGAACATTTAGGGAAGTTGATTAAGGGGCTTGAAATTGTTGTTCTAATTGTTCTAGAAAACGAAATGACGTCTTTGTCGTAGCGAACGTCTGCGTTTGCTTTGTCTGTCTAGTCACTAGAATCAATAGAACAAATTTGTGCGTTGTTCTTTGAATAATATTTAATATAACTTTTCTCAAAACACATGTTATGATGTGAGCAAAATTAATAAAATAAGGTAAATTCATCACAAAAGTTGACACGAAGTTAAATATTTTTGACAGTTAGGCATGAGAATTAATTTTTTTTCTTTTTTTGATTTACGAACAAAAAATAATGACAAAAATTGCATTCCGCAAACTTCTGAACTTCAGAGGGCAAACTCGATTAAGGCTTTGTAAGAAAGTCTAATGCACTCGACTGACTTCATGAGTTTCATGTCGTGATGACGATGATGATGATACAATTCTTTCAATTTGCGTACATAACGAAGATGATGTATTGTGATACTAAAAGAAATGTGTTTTGTACACAATTTAGTTCTCATAAATTGGATAATCGTTTGTTATTACATCAACAGAATAAAAAAATCTCAAATGTTTTGAGTAGATAATCTTCTCAAAATGAGATGAAACTTATTCGCGAAANAATCAAATTTATTCACATCTGCCTAGATGTCTAAGATTATTGTTGGTTTAATTTTTAATTAGTTATGAAATCTTCAAGTCTAATTACAAATTAATTGTTTCTGATTCTCGATTAATATTTAATTATTAATAATTATGCTTTTGGTCACTAACACCACAGCAGCATATCCAGCATAAATATCATGCATGAGAAGTGAGAACGCTCAAAAGTGCATGTTAAATTTTTATTTCTGTTTGTTGTCGATCCCAACTATGTATGAAAATATTGTGAAAACACTTTTCGCTTGCCTCAAACGTTTACAAACTCAAACGATCCTGTTTTACCAACAACCGAAAACTTTTCCTTCAGCCACAAACAAACACAAAGAAATGAAGAAACATCGTCATGTTTGAAGGCGGTGCTTAATACG